GGCTGGTATATGACTGTGAGCAGATGGTTGGGTCCTAATTGATTAGGATATCTGGCTGATAAGATTGTTTTTTACATTTTGCTGATCTTATCTTGTAGGCCTTAGAACTTAAAGTGCTGTACAAGTCTGCCTCAATTTACAAAATAGGTGGATCAGAGAGGTTGTATACAAATTGAATAGAAAGTGAAGTTCAAATGGCCAGAATGCCCATTTAAAAAAAAAAAAAAGACGGAGTCTTGCTCTGTCACCCAGGCTGGAGTACAGTGGCGCAATCTTGGCTCCCTGTAACCTCCACCTCCTGGGTTCAAGCGGTTCCCCTATCTCAGCCTCCCGAGTAGCTGGGATTACAGGCGTGAGCCACCACTCCCGGCTAATTTTTGTATTTTTAGTAGAGACGCAGTTTTGCCATTTTGGCCAGGCTGGTCTGGAACTGCTGACCTGGGGTGATCTGCCTGCCTTGACCTCCCAAAGTGCTGGAATTAAGAGGCATCATGACTGGGCCTGACCCAGAATGCCTCTTAAATTTTGCAGCCAGGCTGGGTACGGTGGCTCACACCTGTAATACCAGCACTTTGGGAGGCTGAAGCAAGAGGATCGCTTGAGCCCAGGAGTTTGAAACCAGCCTGGGCAATGTGGCAAAACCCTGTCTCTAAAACAAATTAGCTGGGCTTAATAGTGCATACCTGTAGTCCCAGCTACTGGGGAAGCTGAGGTGGGAGAATCATTGGAGCCCAGGATGTTGAGGTTGCAGTGAACCACACTCCACCAGCCTGGGCAACAGAGACTATCTCAAAAGAAAAGAATAATTTTACAGTCTTTTAAAGCAGGTAGTTTCCTCCAGTATTTAAAAATCTAAAAAGCCAAAAAGGATCTTAAAAAAAATCTAGTCCAAGTTGCTCACTTTATAGATGAAGAAATAGAACCCTGGAAGAGAACAGTGACTTAGCCTTTGTGTTTCCTGTCAAATTCAATCTCATTCAAACTATCTGAAAAGTGCTTAGAAGGAAGCAAAGGATATTGCTATGAATTTAAATTAAGTACAAATTGGAGATCCTAAACAAAAACAAAACAAAAAAATTGGAGATCCTTGGGTCGATAAATTGGTTATCTAGCCAGAGCCTTTCTGAAATTAATATGCCAACAGGATGTTTGTTTCTGGATGTTTGCTTAAAGCACTCTTGCAACACTGGACCATCTATTTCACAATAGTAAGCCTTTATCTTTTGATAAAAATTAACAGGAAAAATATCCTTGGATTTTCCATTGTAAGATAAATTCTTACCCTGGAGTTGCCTCTATTAATCATAGTATCAAGACTTATTTGTCTTTGAAGGCCTGTGTGTCAGGACAAGGCCATGTCTAGGAGGTTAAACGTGACAGATGTTAAGTAGTCCACATAAAGCCAAAAGCACTAGGCTTTGGGCTCCTATAAAAGCCAAAAATGGGCAGCCTTAAATTCTGCATCTTTTCTCTGTCTGTGGCCAGGTAGCATGGATCCTCATCCTTTTTATTTGACAGGGTAATTAGAAGGGTGGGGCCCAAGCTAGAACTAAGATGCTAAAGCCCTGCATAGCCAGGAAGCTTCTAGGTAGTTTATGGTTTGGGGCAGAGTTTGTTCTTCCACTAAAATCCTACTGTCTCCTAAAACAAACCAAAAATTAGAATTAGGGAAGCTAAGAATTATAATAGGGGTTTTTTTGGCTGGGCGTGGTGGCTCACACCTGTAATCCCAGCACTTTGGGAGGCCAAGGTGGGGGATCACACTTTCAGGAGTTCAAGACCAGCCTGGCCAATATGGCTAAACCCTGTCTCTACTAAAAACACAAAAATTAGCTGGGTGTGGTAGCATGCACTTAAAATCCCAGCTACTCAGGAGGCTGGGCAGGAGAGTTGCCTGAACCTGGGAGGTGGAGGTTGTGGTGAGCTGAGATCACGCCACTGCACTCCAGTCTGGCCAACAGAGCAACTGTCTCAAAAAAAAGAATAAGGAACTTATTTGCCATATGCCATATTGGAGTTAAGGTGTCCAAAATTACATCTCCACAGAGGTTAGATTTACTTCCCCTTTCACTCCCAGCCCCCAAAAAGAAGAGAGAAATTCATTTCTGCATTTGAGGGAATCTGGCCTTTGGAGTTTAGTGTGTCGTTGCCATTGCGAAAGGGAAAGTGTGAGGATGGTTTTCACGTTTGTCTTTTTAAAAACAAAAGAAAAAAAAAAACAAAACAAAGAATGATATTGTTGGCAGAAATGTCACATTTGTTCATTCAGCGAACACCCTGAGTGCCTACTAAGTGCCAGGTCTTTATTATTGCTCCTGAGAGTGGCCAACACACCTGGATACGTGTTATCTTGAAATTATGAACAAATGCTGGGTAGCAGAAAGGAGGAGTTGAAGAGTTGAGAAAACTTCACAGAGAAGGGAACATTTGAGTTAGGGATAGTAAGTTTTTATTGAATGACCGTCTAGGCTGTGTCACAAAAGCCAGCTGGACATGCCATCTGCTGCCGGGGTAGGAGCAGGACTGATTAATTACAGGCTCCTCCAGTGTATTTTCAGATGATTTGGAGCCAAGCCTGTTGAGGCCAGGTGGCTATAATTCATCATGATGGTTTTCTTTTTCAGTTTAGAAACCTGCTGAAATGGTATGCTAAGGAGTTCAAAGACCCACTGCTACAGGAGCTCCCAGCCTGGTTTAAGTCCTTTCTCTTCTGTGAGCTTGTGTTTCAACTGCCTTTCTTTCCCATTGCAACATACGCCTTTCTCAAAGGTTGGTAAATGGTGGGAAAATGGCGATTTTCACTCAGGAATCAGGTCCCAGAAATCTTTTGGGAAAGTATCTCCAAAGGGAAGGGGATGGCCCCCGTAGCTTGTGGGAGGATGCCATAGGATCTGGGGAAATAGCCAGGGTAGATCTTGTAAAGGGATATTAGTGTGGCTGTGGCTCAGGCTCATGTCTGTGGTCAGCGGGGCTGCATGGCTGCCTCACTTGTCTGGAAATCTCTCGCATACACATGAAACCTGAGGCCACTTAAACAATGAGCTTGTTCCCTTTTGTTTTGTTCCCCAACAGACTTAATTTCCCTTTTTGTTGGCTTATTTCTCTGCATTGAATAGTATCACACTGACTTATAAGCTGTAGCATCAGCCTAATCCCTAACATGCTTGTCATTTTAAAATTATTCTTATGTGTTCTCATAATCAATACTTTTTAAAAAAGGTGACCATACACATGTACTTGATAATGAAGCTAAAACAGCTGAAAATGCTCATTTCCCACTGGCATCCTCTGGGGTCACTGAATCTGCCTCCTGATCCTCTCACCTATATAATTACTGAACAAACAGATGCCATGGGGCAGGGATTTCCCTCCCCTTGCATTTTATACCACACGGGTTTCACAGGTAACGGCACTTTCATTGCCCTAGAGTTTTTCTGAGTTATGTTATGGCCCCATTCTTGGTTCTTTGGCGAGCTGTCAGTGAGCTGTCATGTAAGTCTGCATGTTGGGCAGTGTGGCACATCCAGTTTTCTAGTTACAAGTTCCCACTTGGAGAATGGAGTAGAAGAGAGCAGGCAGAGACAGTGGGAAGGTCATGGATGCCTTGGAGTCATGAACTGACCTAATCATTTTTCTTTCCCCTGACTACCTCAGGAAGCTGCAAGTGGATTCGAACCCCTGCAATCATCTACTCAGTTCACACCATGACAACTTTAATTCCAATACTCTCCACATTTCTGTTTGAGGATTTCTCCAAAGCCAGTGGTTTTAAAGGACAAGGACCTGAGACTTTGCATGAACGGTTAACCCTGGTATCTGTCTATGCCCCCTACTTACTCATCCCATTTGTTCTTTTAATTTTCATGCTCCGGAGTCCCTACTACAAGTATGAGGAGAAAAGAAAAAAAAAATGATGGAAACCACCACTGGCCCAGGGTAGACATGCCTACAGGGCAGTTGCTTATTGGATACAAGGAACACTGCTCAGAATCCACGTCTTCAGCAGCATTTTAAACACTGGCAGCAACTCACAAGAGCAAGATGGTATCAGGAACCATGTCAAACCCTCTTTTTTTTTTTTTTTTGTGGAGACGGGGTTTTGCCATGTTGCCCAGGTTGGTCTTGAACACCTAGGCTCAAGTGATCTGCCCATCTCAGTCCCCTTAAGTGCTGAGATTATAAATGTGAGCCACTGGGCCCGGCCCAAACTTTCACCTTCTGAGGGAACTGGAATGAACAGACTGATTGGCTTAGAGTGGGGAAAGGGATATGGGCTAGGTTATAGGGAAGTGTTACTAAATACCTGACTATATGCCTAAGTTCCGCTGCAAGATTATTAAAGCAGGACCAGACCAGAAACTGTTAAAGAACATGGCCTGCTTGACATTTTCATGAGTCACCTGACCCACAGGATATATGCTGCTTATGACTAAACCCTCCACTCCTGATTACCTAGAGTATATCACCCATCAGCAGCATGAACAGTGCAATGTTTGGGGCCATTTTAAAATGTGAAATTTTGCCTCTGTAGTATTAATTCAAAACTGTCATGTTTTCTTGTCCCCACCTCTAACCCAAGGAAAAAAGAGAAAATACTATGCAAAGGAAGTTTAGTTTTCTTAAGTTTTAGCCCTATAATGACTTTCAGTCAGAAATGGGTTAGACTGGAAGATGTTTTTGTTTCTGTTGTAAACAGATCATCCTAGGAGGGTTTTTTGTTTTGTTTTGTTTTGTTTTTGAGACGGTCTTGCTCTGAGCATCTGGCATGATCTCGGCTCACTGCAACCTCTGCCTCCTGGGTTCAAGTGATTCTCCTGCCTCAGCCTCCTGAGTAGCTGGGGACTACAGGCGCACGCCACCATGCCCAGCTAATTTTTGTATTTTTAGTAGAGATGGGGTTTTACCATGTTGGACAGTATGGTCTCGATGTCTTGACCTCATGATCCACCCACCTCAGCCTCCCAAAGTGTTGAGATTACAGGCGTGAGCCACTGCGCCCAGACGTCTTTAAGTTACTTTATTTCTAAATCTTGGTCTTCCACGTTTCTAGAGGCCACCTGACACAAGTCCCTTTATCTGAAGTCTAGCATCTCAAGCCTGATCTGGAAGTGTGCTCCGTAGTGGATAACTTCATCCTTCTAATATAGTTGAGTCATTCCCATCTTGTTCTCGGAAGGGAAGGTGGCCGCAGCCAGGCATAACATAGCCACTGTGTGCATATAGGGTCTCTTCACGTTGATGCTTCATATTCCATCAGCTTTCTCTTAAGTCTGTGCTCAAGTCCAACCTTCAAATGATGTTAGACAGCAGGTCCCAGTCAGTTCCCTCAATTTTCACCAATTTTGCTCACAAGCCATATTGGTTTGATTAGTGGTATTGTTTTGACTCGCATGTCTGATCCAAATAAATGTAGCTGCTGAACACTGCCTGGTTTGTTTTGTGGACTGGGGGATAGGAAATCAAGGGTTCTCTCACAATGGGTTAAACATATTTCAAGGGCAACAGGAAAAAAGTTACATCAACCCATTTGAAAACAAAAATTTATTGCTTCTCCTTCCAAAGCTTTGTAAATTTACAAAAAAAGGACCAAAGTTTATAAACTGCTTAGTTCCAACTAAGAGCATAAGAGGTGAGAACGTGCACTGCATGGCCACCAGCAGCAGCTGTGTGCTGATGTTTAAAAATGGGCTCCCCCAGACTCAGGGGGCTGCCTTCCTTAAACGCCACCTCTTGTGACATAGGTCACTGGTCAAGCCGCTGGAATGGTACAGAGGTTTTTTTGGTTTTGAGGAGCTTTTTTTGTTTTGCCTTCCTGCTATAAAAGTGAAATTTTCAGTTCATTTCTGAAAAATAAATTGGTCAATAAATTCATTTTGTTCTGCTTCTACTTTACACAAAGCTTCATATTCAACCCGATACCTGAAAAACAAAATTGTTAGAGGCCCTGAAAAAAGGATGAAGTAAACCACAGACTTAATTCTTCTAGAGATGTAGAGGTTTAAATGATTTCAAGAAATGGTGTGAGTCAGAATGAAGAAAGATGGAGGCAAAGCCCTACCCAGAGCCACCCATGAGAAATCTCCAGCCCTAGGAAAGTCTTCTTTCAGAGAGCCAGCCAACTTCGTGGACCCTTTCATGCTCAAACTACTAGAGGTGGTTTGATATTAAGTTTTCTATCTCCTTCCCATCAAATGTAATTTTATTTTTAAAAATCTTCAAATCAGGATGACGAGATGCTATTCCTGGGAAAACGATGAAGAATAATGACAAGAAGTGATCATTCCAGAAGGAAGAGCAGAAATTCAGCTGTGTAAAGAACTTGCTTTACATCATGACTTCTTACCTTTCTAGCTGCATTTTCTTTTCTGCTATTAGTGCTTGAAGTTGCTGCTGCTGAGCTTCTCTCTGCTTTGCTATAGATTTGAGCAAGTTCCGAGCACCGATGGCCTACAGTATTGCCAGAGAAGGCCATGGCTTCATTAAAACCCGTCTACAGCATGAAGTCCTCAAAGTGGGGAGGGGTCATCTGGGAGCTATGTCAGTCTCCAGAGAGGAAAAGAAAGCAGAGCCCCAAAGCTTTTGGGTTAAATCAGAAGGATTAACCTACTGATCACAAAGTGCCTCAAGAACTTGACAGCAGCTTTGAGGCGGGTCTAGGAGTATTCCTAGAGCCAGGCACAATGGCACATTCGGTGGTGCCATTCAGCCTTGTGCCTTTCACGAATCATACTGTAAGCCTTCATCTCTTCATTTATAAAATGATAAACCCATCTACATCAGTGCCTATATGAAGATTAAAGGAGGCCAGGTGTGGTGGCTCACGCCTGTCATCCCAGCACTTTGGGAGGCCAAGGTGGGCAGATCACTTGAGGTCAAGAGCAAGACCAGCCTGGCCAACATGGTGAAACTCCATCTCTACTAAAAATACAAAAAAAATTAGCTGGGTGTGGTGGCGCACACCTGTAGTCCCAGCTACTCGGGAGGCCGAGGTGAGAGAATTGCTTGAACCCAAGAGGCGGAGGTTGCAGTGAGCCGAGATTGTGCCACTGCACTCCAGCCTAGTGACAGAGCGAGACACTGTTTTAAAAAAGGAAATCATAAGTTCAGTAGGTTAAATGGACCAGAAGTTATTAAAAGTTTAATTAAATCACCCACCCACCCCTCTAAACAGATTAAGAGGGAAGAAGGATGAGAAGCTAGTGAACTAGGGTCCCAGGCCAAGATGTAGGCAGAAGACATGCTGATCTTACCTTCATCTTTTCATTTTCTGCTTCTTTTGCAAGTTGATCAACAAGCTCAATTAAACCACCAACTATTTTCTGAAACTGGCCAATTTCTTTCAGGAAAAGAACAAAAAATAAAATATTTCTTAAGTATCATTACTCTCCCTCAGCAGAGTGCTGAGGCAGTGAGAGGGCAAAGCTGACTGCCCCTTCTGATTTGTGTCAAAATAGTTCGGTGTTGAGCCAGGCGTGGTGGTGAGCATCGGTAGTCCCAGCTACTCAGGAGGCTGAGGTGGGAGGATCACTTGAACCCAAGGGTTTGAGGATGTACACTTTGATCATGCCTGTGAACTGCCACTGCATTCCATCCTGGGCAACATAGTGAGACCCTGTCACTTAAACATGTTGGTGCCTGTTGGCCTATGTCTCCCACCCTTGGTCTGAACCTAGAGAAGGGTGGCCAGCTGGACCAGAGCATACCCGGACCTTGCGTCCCCATTGAGCCAGCTGCTGTGACCTCAGGCTTTGAAAGCTCTATGCCCTTGTTGGGCCCATCCTCCAGACAGACCCCAACCCTGCTTCCCCGGGAGTGACAGGAAGCGCTGTTGTTCACAAAATGGCAGCCTCAGGACACAAGCACTGCCTCTGGACTAGCTACAGGTATGACACCAGGTTTCAATTAATGGTGGGGATGGGGCTTCCCACTTGTAACCACAGTAAATAAAGAACTCACAGCATTTAAGTGCCTAATCTCCCATTCATTATTTCCAATGTCCTGCATGTAACAAACACAATTTACAGAGGGAAAACTAAGGCCTAGAAAAGTGTGTGCATGGCATAGCAATCATAGAAGGTTAGTGACAGAACCCGAGCTACCTTTCACTAGTCACGTTCTCTCCACAACCTAGGAAGCCCCCAGAAAGTTCAGCAATCCCTTGCTCTAGCTAGATCTGGCTCTGTACTGGCATCAGGCTTGCTTGGCTGCTGGGACAAGAGGCCTCCTGAATATTTCTAGCCAAAAGATGATGTCAGTCTGTTGAACTGCTTCTAGAAACTTCACTTACCACTTTTAACTCCAAATAACAGAGAACCTGCCACTGAGAAGACTCTGAAGAAATCAAATGAGTACATAATTCTGTTTTCCACCCCAAGCCATGGTTGTGTTCCCATGAATTTTAAGGTTTCTTTTTTTTTTTTTTTTTTTTTTTTAAATAGACGGG